TATAAGGCTGGCAGTTTAAACCGCATTATACCGTCTCATCTACCACTTCAGAGAAAGAATCTGTCGTGCTAGAGAAGGTTTAAATGCAGACTGGAAATCCTGAAAGAATGTGAAGCTGTGGAGTTCCACCTCTCCTTCACTAAAATGAAATAATTTAACGATTTTTTTTCATTTATATTAACTAACATGCTTCCTTGAATGCTGTGTTTAAGACTGTGTTTATAGCAGGAAGAGACGTGATGGATTCTGGGTGATGAAATTGGTCAGTGGCAGGTAGAGAACCTGCTAGTTTACCTGGAAGGTGCGTGTTTGTTGGAGTTAGGAATAACAGGGCCACTGCTGTAATGGATCATTTTGCCATGCAGTCAACGTAAATTCTTCTTCAGGGAAAGTGTAGCTTGAATAGAAATCATCCCACTTCCCACTGCCTTTCTGAAGTGAACATTTTGATCATATGTGGAAATACAATTTGGTGTAGTTTAAGTGGAAATCCATTCAATGAAATTTGAAGACTTTGAAAACTAACTGAAAATATAAAAACACATTGCAATCAATTTCCTTAGGGGCTTTTAACTTCACTGGTTCAAGGAGGGTTCATCCTAAGCAAATGGATCAAATTCTTATCCCCATGAGATGTGAATTTGTTTGGAGGGTTGCATGTGTGTCAACCGGTTGACTATTTATCTGTCCTAATTAATGGTCTTGAAATAAACTAGCACATAAATTGTGTAAATCAATATTTGAAGTGTTCTGAAGGGGTGCCTAAATTAGGCTTAATTAACTAGAACAGACAGATGATAACATTTTAATTAGCAGAAATTGTCATACAATTTAAGTCTCTCAATACTGACATTGGCCATTAATATATTCTGTCTGTATATCCTCTCAGAAACATGAGAGAACTGGAGTATTAACTGTCTCTGATGTTATACTGCACTCCTCCAGAGCATGCGTATCACTTTTCAGAGTATTTTTGTTCACAGGTTTCTTGTTACCTGCTTTCTATAGAGGATATTGAGCTTCAAGCCCTAATAAAAGATCCCTTTACTGTGGAAACTAGGCTGTCTAAATTGTCCTTTCATGGCCCATTATGGTAATGAGAAAAGGAGGGAGAAGGAACCAACTTCTGAAAACAGAATTTCTTGGAATTGATTCTGTTTGTCATATACATATTATGGGGTTGAGGAAATTGAAAGGAAATGTTTGTATAGTGGCAGGAAATGTTAAAGTAGCATACAGACGCCTTTGTAATTTTCTGCAGATTTTGCTACTTGTTTCTGCAGAACACACTGAAATTTAGACATAAATACAGTGATTCACATTTTAAAAATATATATATTTGTAATTAGGAAAATTCCACATGTCGGGAGAAGCTGTGATAAGACACAACACAACAACTGCCAGAATTTCTGAGACAAGGGTCTAAAACATCTCCTGTTACAAGACTAACAAAATGATTGTAATACTTACATAATACAGTGCTCAGTGTTTTAGATATGCTACAGACAGACACACAGACATTTTGTTCAGGATGACTTTTCCAGAAAAAAATACCTCTTTTCTCCTCCAGAGCATCCTATAGCAAACATTAATTAAAAGTTTAAGTAACCCATTAGAGATGAATGAATGGAGTCCTTCATAAATAATAATTTATTTATAATAAATAAATTAGAAACTTATAGTATAACACTTTATAATACATCTTATACACTACTACTATTGAGATATTTTTCTGTTCATGTAAATTAACTTGATTCATTGAAACGCAGACTGGGTTTTTTAGGGAGAATTCATCGTTAGCAACAAGAACTGTCTCAAGATTTTATACAAAATAAGAAACTTATCCACAGAGTTTGTCATTAGCTGGAGTATCTTTCGCATTGACAGAAGATGCAGCATTTCAGTTGGTTATTTGTAATGGACTATGAAGGCATGTTGAACTGGAACAGGAAAAAAGTATATTTAGTAACTAACATTTCAGTTAAAAAGAGAAGAAATGGAATAGCAGTATAACATAGAAAGGGCAACATATATTACATTTAAGCAGGTTTTTAAACTCATTCAAAATTTCCTTTTTCAGAGTAAGTAGATGGTCATTGGGTGGTACAAGACTTGTAAAACTGGGCAAAATACATCTATTTCCATACATAACTGAAATTTGTGTGTTGAATCTCTAATGCCTATGAACCTGGAATATAGTTTGGGGTAAAACTGCAGGAAGTTTTTTCAGCCTGAGATTAAGGATTCCAACTAAGCTACACTGTGGCTGGCTAACTTGGTAGACTATGTGGAAAGGGTTTTTCACCCATGTCTAACTACTCTATTGAATTAAGATGCTTGGAAAAACATCTCTTTTTTTTCCAGGAAGACAAAACTAAAGGAACTAAGTGAAAGTACAACAGCGTAAGCATATTTCCTGAAAAGATGAAGCTGGAGTGTCAGCTCCTGCTTTTCGAAGAAGGAATCTTATTGTAGTAACACATTCCATAGACATTTTAATGTTTTTTAATTATTAAGGTATTAATACTACTTTTATTGTGGCATGGATCTTTTTCTATACTGTTCATTTTATGAACTTCTGGGATCCGTCTGTTATGGTTCCAGATCATAGTTGTTGTCAGATTGTTTGGACAAACTGTCAGGCATTTTGTAAGTTAATGACATTTATCACTGGTTCTCCTGGCAAATGAACATTTGTTAACCATGACTCTTCTGACATTACAAAGGCAATTATTTGCAGCAGTATGGTAGCTCTGTGATAAGAGCTCTTAGTCATCACAGGCTACAATTTCATCTTTCCAGTACTCCTATTGTAAATAATGGAAAGAAGAGTTTGAAAGCAAATTGATGGTTCCCTCAGAGAGGAAATTACACAGAGGACTAATATTCTGGTTCTGGGAAAAGCAGGCAGAATTATAGGTAAGCACTTTAGAGCAGTTGTATCCCAAGGTTTATCAGTATGAATGAGAAAGAATTTAGTGGAGTTTAAGGAGTAATGATTTCCTCCCTCTCACTGCAGCTGCTTCACCCCATTTGCTCCTTTTTACTTGGTTATAAACAAAACATAAAAAGTGAACAACTAAGCTAAGAAGTGATGTATTTTGCAGGGTTGTCATACCTTGTAACTTGATAATCATCATGATCCAGATTCACTGAAGGAAAGATTTATTTTGGCTACTCTAAGAAGATGTTGGTGATGGATTTCTAATTTGTGAAACCATAGCTATTTCTGTGAAGGTTTTAACATGAAAATAATTAGCTGTTTCTCCTTTTTAAAGCAACCTTTCTGATTCTCTATGTACAGTTTATTATCTAAACACTGGTGCTTTGAGAGTTATTCAGTCTCTATTATCGAGTGGGTAGACAAAGACAAAACCATGCAAAATCAATCAATTCATCTAGCTCTCCCGCTCAAATACCATATGAAATAAAAGAGGGGAAAAAAAAATCAACCTAAGAACTGAAAAAACCATTTCATCTGTACCTTGTATTTGTTAGCAAGTGATATGCTTGTTTTTTAAACCTTTTACATGGATTGGAACAAAATACACTGTTTTGGAAACCAGCCCATTGTAAAGATGGAATTGTGTGCCGTTTAAATTATGAAGGTGTTTAACTTCCTGCCACCTTTCCCCCTGCAGTAGAAGTCTTCCTGATTTTGGTAATCTGCATTTGCAAGAAGCTGGCAAGGAACAGTGGCGTTCTGGACATAACTAGTGACTTTCTGTCAGTATTTGCCTAAAATCTACAAAGCATTTTCTGAACCCTGTAGATAACAGTAAATGAGATTAGACTGAAGCTGAAACTCATTACAAATGCTCTAGAAAATCCAGTCAGGATTCAGCTCGTTCTTCTGTGGGTTGAACTGTGAAAAATCAAGAAGTAAATCCTGCTACAGATTCAGAGAATAGTTTGTTGCTGGTCTTTAAATGTCTTGAAAAAAGAGAAAATATTACCCATAGGGGTTTTTTTTTTTACATTAAAATGACTTTTCTTTAACTGAAGAGAATCTTTTATTGATTGAAATTCTAGTAACTTGCAATCTTCCTGTCAGTAATTTTTATGTTTGTAGAGTTATCAACATTCTTGTTTTTCAAATATTTATTTTTTGTTCACTGGATTAGTTTAAGAATTGTACAGAAACTGTTTTATTAACCATCTAAATTTTGCATGATAGGAGACTGAATTTAAAGTTGCTAGAGAAATAATGGGGAAGTAATAAGTCTGTCTCATTTATTATCTCTGCAATGCCACATATACCAACTTAGTAGTGATCAAAAATCCTCAGCAAGAGGTGTTTTTATACTAATTGGTGTGAACTGACTGGCATTCTCAGCCCCTGGGATTTCCTGCTCTTCACCCCTGGTTCCTAGTTTCAGGTAAAGGCCAGGAATATGTGGACAGGTAAGCTTTTCTTACATCCAGAAGAGGTCTGGGACATATTGCTAATGCAGTGATAAAAATGTATTACTTTTTCTTGTGGATCTTTGGTCTCCAGAGCAAATGCTACATTGCCAATACCAGAAACACTAAAGAAGATGGAAGAATTTTGACTGTATTAGGAGGTTGTTCCAAAACTGGAAAGAGAAAAATAAAAACATCTAAATAAATATCTAGTTTAATAATTCATATAAGGAACCCTAAGAAGTTGGATTTTTACTGTAACCTCTGAAAAGAATCAGTAGTTTAGGGATGGTGGAGTGGGTGAAGATTTTTTTAAGGTGGCAGAGAAAGTATTTGGTTATCCATAGATTATATCTAGTATAGGAAAGGGGGTGTCAAGGTATTATTAGGACTGTGTTATGAAATAGCTGCATGAAAGGAAACTAAAGTTCCTAACAGTGTACAGCATAAACCAATGTAGCTGATATTTGAGCTGTAGCAAGCCTTTTCAAATGCAATCCTTATATTCAGTCAAAGAAAGATATAAAAACTGCTTGATAAATCTAGTAGGCCCTTTCCATATAGCTTCTTCAGTATTGTTTCTTTTCTTCCAAAAGCATCATCATGTGATCAAGAACTTCAGTCAGCCCTGGAGGAAGCTAAACAGCCCCAGAAAGACAATGTGTTCATTCCAGAGTGTGCTCAGGGCGGCCTCTACAAACCAGTGCAGTGCCATCCTTCCACGGGCTACTGCTGGTGTGTTCTGGTGGATACGGGACGTCCCATCCCTGGTACATCAACGAGGTAAGGAGATACATGTTCAGTGCTCAAAAGTTGAAGGGAGAAAATGCCTTAGTGTGCATGTATTAGCATGTAGATTTCTATTGCTGGTGGAATTTATATCATATAGTTTTCATCCACTATGAAGATGAGCTGAAATATTTCTAAGAGCCATCAAAAGTTAGGCCAGATGTCCAAAGACTGTTTCACTGCAATGTTACAGGCAATTTGCTCCCTTAGTCCTGTTTTTTACTTTCTGTTTTGTGCTGGGAAGCTAAGGCTTGGAGCAGATAACGAATAAGCCCAAAGGAAACCTCACACTCCTTAGCCTGAATATAGAAGAACCAAGTAAGATGGTCTATGACAGAAACCACATCCAACCTCAGAAATGTTCAGTTATTTTTCCAGCAACCTCCTGAACTGTTTCATATGACTGGCTTTGATGGAACAACTGCCAGGAACATGGAGAGGAAATAACGTTTTAGTGTGTTCTTAATAGAAGCTTGGGGTTCAGTCGTTTCAGCTGAGCCGGATGCATGGTGAAGTGTTGTTAGCCACATAGAACAGATGTAGGCAAGGCAATATCAGTTTCCAAAAAGATGTTATTTAGGCTGGTTATTGAGGTTTGGCCCTTGAAGGAGTGCTGTAGAAGCTTATATAAACCTGACAGGCAGTATGGGTATCTTGATGCAATCATAAATCTTTTCAAGCCTAAACCAAAATAATTTTTTGTCATTTGCATGAAGTTTGTGAAAAAACATAAGCCACTTGCTGTAAAGTATTATATCCTTGGGGAGTGTTTTTTTGCTTATTCTTCAAGTGCTGATTTAGCACTTGAAATAAAATAGCTGTTTATACCATTGTCTAGACTATGCCAATTACAGTACCAACTGAAGTGAGCATGACTTAATGGTACTGTTAAACTACTTTTTCTGGCAAGTTGAGATCCAAATTTGGTCCTGAAACTGTGGGATCAGTACACATGTTGTGTGAGGACCTATAGATGTTCTCTTGAGATTCCAGAGGCTCACTTTTCTGTTCTTCCTCTGTTTTCCACCCCTAGGTTTGCTCACTGTTTCTTGTTTTTAGTGCTAATCCTTCTTTGAATTATGGTTTAAATAATTTTGTAGAGTCTTAGTTCCTGTTCTCTAATTTGAGTTCAAATAATCTTCTTGTGCTTGTCGATCAGTAGGACTTGTGCGGCTTTTTTGTAGTTCTTTGAGTGTCATTTTATTATAGAATCACAGAATAGCTGAGATTGGCAGGGGCCTTCGGAGATTCTCTAGGACAACCCCTCTACTCAAAGCAAGGTCAGCTAGAGCAGATTGCTCAGGACCATGTCCAGTTGGGCTTTGATTATTTCCAAGGATGGAGAGTCCACAGCCTCTCTGCGCAGCCTGTGCTACTGTTTGATCACAGTTTAAAAAAAAAAAAAAAAAAAAAAAAAAAAGTTTTTTCTTAATTTTAAATGACATTTCCTATATTTCATTTTGTTCCCGTTGCCTCTTTTCCTGTCACTTGGCATCACTGATAAGAGTCTGACCCCATTTTCTTTATTTTCCTTGCTTTGGATATTTATAGACATTAATAAGATCCTTCCTGAGCCTTCTCTTCCCCAGACTGAACAGTCCCAGTTCTCTCACTCTTTCAAACTTTCCTTATTATGTCAAATGCCCCAGTCCCTTAGTCATATTCATGACCTTTTGCTAGACCCACTCCACTATATCCATGTGTCTCTTGTTCGGGGAGCCTATAGCTGGACCTAGCACTCCAGATATTTCTCACCAATGTGAAGGAGAGGGGAGGAATTACTTCCCTTGACTGCTGGCAATACTCTTCCTAATGCAGCCCAGGAGGCTATTGACCTTCTTTGCTGCAAGGGAACATTGCTGCCTCATACTCAGCTTAGTGTCTATCAGAAATCTCAGGCCCTTGTTGCAAAGTTGCTTTCCAGCTGGTTGGCCCCCATCCTGTGCTGGTGCAGGGGGCTAATCTTCCCCAGGTGCAGGAATTTTGCATTTGCCTTTTTTTTTTTGAAGTTCATGAGATTCCTCTCAGCCCATTTCTCAAACCTCTCTATTGAGGTCCCTCTGAATGGCAGCACAACCCTCTGTTGCATCAGCCACTCCTTCCAGTTTTGTATAATCTGCAAACTTGCTGAAGTTTTTTCTTTCGCAGCATACCTGGTCATTAATGAAGAGGTTAAACAAGTATGGAACTCTGAGGCACTCCACTGGTGACGCTTCCAGCTGGAATTTTCGCTGCTCATCGCAACTCTTTGAGACTGTCAGTTCAGCTAGTTTTTAACACGCCTCACTGTTCATTTCTCTAACCCATACTTCATCAGTTTATCTATGAAAATGTAATCAGAAACAGTGTCAAAAGCCTTGCTAAAATTAAGATAAACAGTATCTGCTGCTCTCCACTTATCCACTGAGCAAATAACCTCATCATAGAAAGCTGCAGGCTTGGCCAAGCATTATTTCCTCTTCATAAATCCATGCTGACTACTCCCAGTCACCTTCTTGTCCTTCATATTTTTTGAAATAGCTTATGGGAGGATTTACTTCATCACCTTCCCAGGAACTAAAGTAAGGCTGACTGGCTTGTTGTTCAGTTCCTCCTTGCCCTTCTTGAATATAGAAGTGACATTTGCTTTCTTCCACTCCTGAGGAACCTCCCTCAGTCACCATGACCATTTGAATATATTTGAGAGTGGCCTTGCAATGCCATCCTCCAGCTCCCTCAGCACTTGTGGGTACGTCCCACGAAGTCCCATGGATTTGTGTATGTCCAGTTTGTTCAAACAATCCCTGAATTGATCCTCCTCCACCAAGTGTAAGTCTTCCTTGCTCCAGACTTCACTAGTGGTTTCAGGGACCTAGGATTCCTAAAGACTAGTTTTTACAAGTAAAGATGAAGAAGGCATTGAGTACTTCTGCCTTCTCCATGTCGTTTGTCACAAGGTCCCCTGTCCCACGCAGAAACAGGCCCATTTTCCCTAGTCTTTTTGCTGCTGATATGCATGTAAGAAGCCCTTCATGCTCCTTACCAGATTTAGCTCCAGGGTGCTTTGGCTTTCCTCATGCCATCCCTGCACACTTGTACAGTGTCTGCATATTCCTCCTGTATCACCTGACCCCGCTTCCACCTCTTGTGTGCTTCCATTTATGTCTGAATTTTGTTAGGTGCTCCTTGTTCATTTGTGCAGGCTTCCTGCCACATTCTACACATCAGGATGAACCATTCATGAAACTGGAGGTGAAGATCCTTGAAAATCAGTGAGCTTGCTCTCCTGTTTGTATCTTTAGTGTGCATGCAGTGCATGTGATTTTGGCTTCTACTGTCACACTGAGTGGAATTCTGGGTCTTCCCAACAGCTTGATGAATCATCTATGGTTCTAGAATCAGTCTCCATCTGAAGAGGTGGCAGGAAGTCATAGAATCATAGAATGGTTTGGATTGGAAGGGACCTTAAAGATCATGTAGTTCCAACCCCCCTGCCATCAGCAGGGACACCTTCCACTAGACCAGGTTGCTCAAAGCCTCATCCAGCCCGACCTTAAACACTTCCAGGGAGGGGGCATCCACAACTTCTCTGTGCAACCTGTTCCAGTGTCTGACCACCCTCACAGTGAAGAACTTCTTCCTTTTATCTAATCTAAACCTACCCTCTTTCAGCTTAAACCCATTTCCCCTTGTTCTGTCATTAATTGCCCTTATGAAAAGTCCCTCCCCAGCTTTCTTGTAGGCCCCCTTCAGGTACTGGAAGGCCGCAATAAGATCTCCCCGGAGCCTTCTCTTCTCCAGGCTGAACAGCCCCAACTCTCTCAGCCTGTCCTCATAGGAGAGGTGCTCCAGCCTTTCACTGTGCTGCATGTTGCCAAAGTTGGAAGACTGGCAAGTTGGATTCAATCTCACATCTATGATTTAGACACAAATCTTCCTTTTGCTAGATGAATGCTCTGCCTGATGACTAATGCTTAAAGGATCAACTGCTGTGGCCTTGACCATTTCTAATTTGTTCAGCTTTGCTGGACTTATGGGGAGTCCTCAATAGAGCTCTGAGGAAGTAATATTTCATAATATCCCCAGAGAGGAAATTTCTGAGCACAGATGGATAATCAGAATGCTCAAATTTAGGAGTTTCATACTGAATAAAGAATGACTGGTGTATTTAGGAATCTGCAGTCCTGGTAAACAAGCAGGTGGGATTATTGCCTGGAGTTTAAGAGGAGTGTCTAGACCTCATTTCTGGGAAAGATTTAGGTAGGCTGAAATCCCATTAACTATTTTGTGATTTTATTTTTTTGGTTTTTAGCCTATATTGATAAAAATTAAACTTTTTTTTCGCCCTAGCAGGGGAAGGTAATAGGGGATCAGAATATGAGGAATAGGCAGTTGTCATTTTTAAATTCTTTCCTATAGAATGCAGAGTGTGAACATGTAAATCTTTCCTAGTTTAAAGAACCAGGAGCTCATGCAAAATGGTGTATGCTGTCTTCCAGCTTTCCACTGCAAAATACAAATTAGAAGAGCAGCTGTTAAAACTCTTCTGCAGGAATGGATAGCATTAGTACTCCTGGTAGCAAGATGGATGCATCCTGGAATCTCTGTTCTGCAAATCTGGATCAAATCCCTAGGGGAACAGCTTAGCATTTTGCATGTTGTTTGTTTTGAATACATTCATGAGGATGAAATTTGTCATATCATCAGACTCTGAATACCACAATAAATAGTAGTCCCATTAAATTAGACACCCCAAAATGAAGGGAAATTATTAATACTCATTGACCTTCCATTATCCTATCATTTGAAGCAAAGATAAATCATTTGTCAGTGAAGATGTTCCAGAAAAAAACCCCATAAAATTCTAGACTTAAAATAGAGATATGTGAATGAAGCACCACTCTAGGGCACTTAAGACAGTAAAACTCCCAAGCAATAGGTGAAGTTGTGGTATAAAGCTGGCTTTTATGAAAGCCTAGAGGACACATCCATTTGACTAAAAGGAGGTAATGCATTTAAAGGATACAAAACCATTCCCCTGAAAGTCTGCCAGTATGACCCTTACTAGCTGCCACCCAATGCCTCCTGGACAATCAGCCTTTTTGCTCAGCAGGGCCATAAGTCTGTGTTCTCACATGGGACTTTTTAGCAACTAGGATCATAGGCAAAGTAATGCCCAATTCACTTGCACAAGATTCTCTAAACTTAAAAAAGAACTTTGAGGCTGCCCATGCTGTAGAATTCCTGTGAAACTGTCCATCCTCCACTGCTTTGTACACCTCAGTGCTTCCCATTGCCAGACTGTTCAGAGGTATAAAGCAGCCTTCATAAGCTCTTGACGACTTTAGAGATATATTCACTGCTAGGGATTATTTCCCTTTTAAAATTCAAAAGAGTAACTTGGGATGTCTTTTGACTGCATTATTTTTAACCTGACAGTGCTCCATTCTGACATGCTATCCCTTTCCCATTCTTTTCCCATGAAAACTGAGGCAAGTGTTTTCTTCTTATCAGTTCTTAGCTTGGCTGTGCCTGTGTGGTAAATTTCTAATGATTCATTTCATCTTTCTTCAGTTGGTTTAGAGAGGTATACATGGACTTTTCACATTATAGCATTTTAACAACTATTGGGCTTTAATAGATTTAGTTTGTATATGATGAATGCATATGTATATAACAAAAATATAAGCCAAAAAGGTAGAAGAGTAGAGGCCAAAAAAGAAAGTGTAACCACAGAGCAGTAACAATAATGGAAGAGGATGAGGAGGCTGAAGAGTCAGGTATCAGATTAATCAGGGACCAGGCTGGTTGCCAGATACTGCATTAGTGACTATTGCTCAGAGATTTCCCTTTCATTCATTTCTTGGCTGATTGAAGTGGTCATCCATCAGGTATGTGAATCCAACCCATGCTATCAAAGCAGCTTCTATTCCAGCAATTCTTTAGGGGAAAAAAGTACCTGTTGCTCTGCCATGTCCATGCAACAACACTGTACCTTCTTGCAGCAGCCAAGATTCGATGGGTCAGTGGGTAGTTTCATTAGATGATGTGGAAATAAATTAAGCACTCAAGAGAAAAAATATTTTTTAATCGTTTTTTCATTCTACCTGGTAATTATGGTCAGAATACTTGGATATTTTTCATAGGGGCAGTTTGACCTGGACCCAGGATATAGCCACCATTTAATACTATATATAATAGTATAAATAATATTTTGTTCCAAAATTTTGGATTAGTATATTTTAATTAGACATTTTAGTATGCTACTCAGTAAATGTCATTTTGGGAAACAATAGAATCTTCTAAGAAAGATGAGCAGTTATATAAAATATGAAATAACCCAGATTCAAGGAACAGGTATGTGTGTGCAAATGCATGTATGTGGACACAAGTCATATTACTAAGCATTTTTAACTGAGAATTGAAACGTTCTCTGAAATGCTACACACTAAATTCTGCAGCTTCAAGCTACTTTAGGAGAATGAGAAAGTAAAATTTATCAGAAAGAGTTCTGAGTGAAAAGCCACCATGCATCGCTACTGGGATTATAAGTAAGAAGAACAGATTCAGCAGCAGATGCTCCCTCGCCTCCCACTCTTGCATAAAAGATACTGCTAGTAGTGTTGCATAAGTCAATGCTTGTTAGAAGGATGAATAGCACAGAGTTTCTTCTTACTACCTGGACTAACCAAGTGGCATTTAAGTAATCTCTGAAACCATAGAGGAACCAGAATATTCCAGTAGCAGGTGGAGAGTCAGTCTTTTTCCCAATCCATTTCAAGCTGTTGCAGCCCAGTTCCTTTCCTTGTGGAAATACTATCAGTTTTCGTTCTTGTTCAAAATGTTAGCTGTTCATGGTAAACCCATTTTATGTTAACTAACATTTTTTTGGAGAGGATACAGTAGCACATGGCTTTAGAGCTGCAGTAGTGACTAACTACAGTTCCTGCCTTGCTTTGATTTTGAAATTCTGTGGTGTTTCTCCAACATGAACACTGTGTCAGATGTCAGAAATTGTCATGTTGTTTCTGACTTTTTGATTTGGTAGGTGGGAGGAAAGCCTGACTTTGGTTTTGGGTTTGTGTTTTTTTAGTGTTTTTTTTATTATTATTTTAAATTATATATTACTTTATAGCAATTCCTCATTTTTTAGTTTGGTAGCATCCCCAAGAGAATAAAGATATGCTGGCTTCTTTGAGGTAAGTAGAAAATAGGCAAATTAATTTGCATTGCCCCTTCTGAATGAAAAACAAGCTTATTCCCTGAATAAAAGAAGGTACAAGTTTAACTTGGAGTACAAAATTGGAAATAAATTAGTTCTAACTCAAATTAATTTTGGTTGTTTGTTCTTTAGGTATGAACAACCAAAGTGTGATAATGGTGCCAGAGCTCACCCAACCAAAACAAAAGATTTGTACAAAGGACGTCAACTTCAAGGTCAGTGAAACATATAAATTTGGTTTCATGCATTCCAATTCTTTGTTTATTCACTGCAATAAATTAGAAAGCAACTTCTTATCCCTGTATCAAAAAAAATGTATCTTTTAGATACTGCTATATTGATTTGCCACTGACTGAAGTCTTTGACTTTGGAATAGTGTATGTAAATATGGGTCCTGGGATGTTGTCAGAGAAAGCACGGCTCGTTTTTCTCAGTAGCTTAAAGGCAGTCACATTTACTTACTGGAATTATTCCTTGCTGTTGTCATACCAGAGAAGTCAGAAAATATGCCCAGAATAACTTGGCCCATACTTCATAATCATTTTTTCTAGCAAAATCCATGTGAAATTTGCCTCTGTCTTCAAATCAGTCTAAAAAATGTATCATCTACTTACTTTTTTCTAAGAGCACCCTTGTCAGTTTATTTCAGAATAATAGTATTTCATTCCTTTCTGTTGTAGGAACAAACCTTGGTGTTTATTAGATTTTTCCTTTTTTCACACTTTATATAAGTGTAAGAGTTCTTATCTCCAGACAGTTGAGCTACACAGAAGTCAGTGGACTTGCTTCATTTTTGACATGGCTTTTTAATATGTTTGAGTAACTTGAGGTGTAGCAGGTTTAGTGATATTGCACGTTATGAGGGAATTATGAATCACTGTCAGCTATTGTAAAGAACCAGAAACAGGCAAATAATGTGAGCAGATTTTTTGTCATGAAAAATACTTCAGTTTAGCCACCCAGAGAAACATCTAGACAATAATGCTGAACTAAGCATGCCCATCAGTTTTGAAATATGTATTAAATGAAGCATACATTAATAGTCTTTGTCATGAAACAAGTTTAATTATAAGTTATAATAAAAAATAAGAAATATGAATGATATGTTATTATACCATATATAATCATATGTTTTGTTCTAAATAGAAGGAAGTCAGTCAGGAAGATTAACTGTAAGCTGTCCAATTACTGTGGCTGTAAAAAGGGCAAGTGTGACCCAAAACCATATCTAGTTAGGTATGATGGGACAGACAGACAGGAACAGGACAGACAAGGCAGACAAGGAAACATTCATGCCATTTTAGATAGCTCTGTTATTTTTTCTGGATCTTATCTAGAACCATGGGTACAGTTCTGTTCATCTGTGTTCAGGAAAATGGATGCACAGGAGAAATAAGCTAGCAGCAACATATCAGGGAAAGCAGCTGCTTTTCAAGAGAAGGCAGCTAGCATTTGCTTCATTTAGACAAACAAGATGAGATCTGGAGGCGATATTGTTCCTTTGTGACCATCCAGAAGAGAAACTGTTTTCCTCTGTGAGAATTTTGGCACATAAAAAATAGATATGAAGTATCCTGAATGAATTTCACCTGGGAGCTGTACAGTGGTTTCCAACTAATAAAGCAGTGATGCAGAAGCCGTCTTAAAGGACTAGCAATGGGGCAGAAAATCTGGTTAGTTTTTTAGGCAGATCTTGATAACCTTATGAAAGAGACAGTGGGAGACAGGGTAGAATGAGTGAGGTACTCATTTTGCCTTATGGTGTATTACTTAAGATACTGAACATGTATATATACTCAGAGATGAGAAGCTGATTTACACTGAAAATTCCCCTTGGAACATGAATTTCACAGCTCTTATCAAATCGTCTCCATTTCTATTCCTTCAAAAAAAAAGGAATGTAGCATGCCTGACTTGTAGTTTTGCTGTTTAGCTGCTCACAGAATTCAGCAAGAACCATATGTGCCTCATAAATCTTCAGATATGTGAAACTTAGTGGTAAATACACCTCTGTTGACAGTCAGGTCGATTATGTTTATCCATCATTTCACCAGTCAGTACTTGCTTACTGAAGTTACTTACTGCTGTTGTAACTTCAGGAAAGTTACCGGGTATTCAGGGATAATTTGGGACATATTTTACAATCCTTACTCCATGAAAGCTAATGGAAAGTTGGCCATCTTGAAGAATTTATTTCAAACAGCACTTGCATAGTTACAGACTTGGAATAATTACTTGATTTCATGTGTGTTTTTTCTGAGTGAGAAGAACTTGCACTCAGAAGTGAGTATAGCAGAGTGGAAGCTGAAGAAACAAGTTTTGTGCTATCACTTGCTGGTCACTTCTACATTTTGCTAGAAATTTTGAAGATGCATTTGCTAGCTGGAATCTTAGAGGGAGGATGGGAAGGTGAAGGGTTTTAAGTTTTCTGTTTCTTTGCATAAACTGGTAGTGCTTTTTTACAGTACAGTAATAAAAATTTATCAAAAGTCAATTTTGCCAGTGAAACAATTAACAAGAACTTTCCATGCTTTAAATTCCTACCTGATAAATTACTTTTCATGAAGTTAGACAATGGTCTTTTGATTTTGTCTTTCTACTTCATGGCTTTATAGTATTTTGCATTATATGAGCTTTAGTCCAACAACCTGCTGAAGCAATGTGAGCTCATATTTATTATAAATTATTATATATTACATGGATTTCCTCTCCAATGTCTTATGTTGCTTAGTTTTTGACTTCTAAATGCTTTCTATTATTTTAAAATAAGGCAAATAACAAAATTTCCTAGCATTTCATAAATACTTATGGGTTAGCTAGAAAAACCTTTCTCTTCTACTCTGCAACAGCATGGAGTAAGTACATGCCAATAGAAGTAACAGGGGAAGAGGTTAACGGTTACTTCACAATTGCAGTTTATTTTTCTTTCTTTCTCTTAAAGCTTTCTCTTTTCTCTCTTCACTAATCTATCAAATGCTCAGCCATCAAATTTCTCTCTTATCATACAAACATTACATCAAGTACAAATGGTTTGAGTTTACATAGTTTTTTGAAAAAATGAGGTTGAAAGAGGATCTTGCACAGGTGTGGCTAGTTGTTAACAAGTGACAGGTAAAATTGCACAAATGGTTAATATGAATCAACCTTTTAGTGGAAATGAACTACTTGTAAGCAGTGTTGCAAAGGCATGTTTGCATTTGCATTGCCTAAATTTAAATACAACATCTGATTGCTGAGTGGTGCCGGGACTGAATAAAAAGTGTAGGTTAATTGTGTACTTTCTTTCAAGGAATAATACATTTTTGAATGGATGGTTTTGCTTGATTTAGAATCACAGGATATATTGTGTTGGAAGGGAACCTGAAAGGTCATCTAGTCCAAGCCCCCTGCAGTAAGCAGGGACATCTTTACTAGAGCAGGTTGCTCAGAGACCCATCAAGCCCAACCTTGAATATCTCCAGGAACAAGGCCTCCACTACCTCTCTGGGCAACCTGTTCCAATGATCTACCACCCTCATATTGAAGAACTTTTTCCTAATATGCAACCTAAATCCCTTTTCTAGTTCAAAACCATTACTCCTTGTCCTATTGCTATGTGCCCTTGTGAACAGTTCTTCCCCAGCTTTCTTATAGGTACCTTTCAGGTACTGGAAGGCTGCTGTATGGTCCCCCCAGAGCCTTCTCTTCTCCAGGATGAACAACCCCAACTCTCTCAGCCTGTCTTCATAGGAGAGGTGCTTCAGCCCTTTGATCATTTTTGTGGCCCTTCTCTGGACACGCTGCAACAGGTACATGTCCTTCTTGTGTTGAGGGCTCCAAAGCTGCACACAGTATTCCAGTTAAGGTCTCACCAAAGCAGAAGAGATGGGCAGAATCACCTGTCTCGTTTTGCTGGCCACATTTTTTTTGACAACTTACACCCACAAAAATGCAGTAGCCCTGGGTGAAACCACTGTGACTGTCTGCCATGTAAAACCAGGAAGATTTTAAAACAATTACTTTAACACTATGAATGATCTTAAGTAGGATAAACCCCACTGGTACATCCTCAGGTGGTTTAAATTGAAATAGTTCTGCAGCTATGCTGATTTATACCACCTGAGAATTTGAACCCATTACATGATAAGCCAAATATTTTTAGCAATAATTTGCAAATAAATCAAGATGCAGTTTTTGGCAAACACGGACATCTTGTTAAGGCAAAATTGTAGAAGGTAAGGGCCCCTTGGAGTCTATGGCAAAATTCCCACTGATTTAAACTGAACTAAGAATATATCCTCACATCCACAGAGTAACTTAATTTAAAGCATCTGAAATTGAATGCTAATCTAATGTTTGTAGGAACAACCCAAGCCACCTGTATCTGTTAGATTGGACTGGAAGTTATATAATAATAATTATTCTCATAAGATTTCTAGTCCTTTTTTTAAAGCCAAAATATTTTTTTTCTGAGGTTACTCGTGGTTTTGATCCTTCTCAGAAACTAGTTATTCTGAGATTATGAAAATGAACCCCAAAAGTAGTCTAGAGAATATCACATACTGGGGAAACAGAAAGGTTTTTTTACTTTTCTCATAGTCAGATTTTTGAAATGTTTGTGTTTTGACCCTTTGTTCTCCTCTGTGTTATACAGTAAACTAGAAGCCCCATTATAAGCCAACATATTCTGTTAAGCGTGTTGAATGGTTTCTTTCAGACTTTTGGATAATTGGTGTGTTAAACAGAAATTCAGTTTTCTACACAAGCTAGTCAAGAGGATTTAAAAGAGAATAGCATGAAGGCTAGTTAAGCTAAACCTATAGTATAGTAGAATGAGGGGTAGGTGCCCCCATATTTTCCTAAAATCATGACTAGCAATAGATCAAATATAGCCAAACTGAAGAAATATCAGCTCCTGGAACTGTATTTTTTCAGGCTGGGTGTATGGGTGAAGGTATTTTCAAGCATTATATGTATTCACTAGTCTCTAATAATCACTAAAATATTTTTCAGCATGCACCCTCAATAAATGTATAATTATTTATAAATTACATAGATGTACTACTGCACTAATATATTAAGTACATTTTAAAACATACCCAAATATAGAAATTAAAAAATGATGAAATAAAGATTAAATAAACACAATTTTAATTTATTTTATTTTATTTATTAATAGTACAAAAATATTTTTTTTCTGCACTGCAGTTGGTTGTCATGTGCCCCCTTGGGCTGT